TTTTAAATATAAATTACCGTTGACAGAAGAATTTCTGTTTACGGAACGTTTATAAAAAAAATAATAAATAATAAGTAGTAGCATTCAAGGTGGCCAGAAGTTATTGCCTACCTACTACTAGCGCCTCTAGCGGAGAAACAACGAATCGAGTGTCATACCTGCGCGTAATGAGCTGCTGGTAGTGGGAAGGCAACTATTTCTAAGCTTCCCGTACAAGTTTACGAGTCCACGCGAGATCCTGAGCAGAACCATTACTAATACGTGTTACAGACTGGCGGTGCGGCGTTCGATTTGGAAAACTTCGTGGAGGCTAAGCCGAACCAGAAGAAGCAATTCATTCAGGTGGCCACCAAGAGGATCGCCAATGGTCTCACTAAAGTGGAACTCGAAAAAGATTGCTCGTGCGGATACAAGTTTGGAATTATCGGAAGTCCCGAGTGCAAAATCGTTGGTCGCAAGGATAGGGAACCCGCGGTAAGGACATCAATTATTACCGTACTGATTTCGCTTATTTTTAAGATGGAAATTCCTGATCGAACAGGAAGCTGACCTCGCTTTTCCGTGTTTCAGAAAAAGGAAGGAGTGAAGACATAATCGTAAGTCATCGAGGTCGTTAGACTTCTCGAGGACGGGGAACCTCGATAACGAAACGAGCGAGGATTTAAGGACCCCCGTCGCCTGCTGTACATCGAAATTTACACGATCGTCCCCTCCCCCATCCTCCCCCTCACTTTTTTTTTTGTCACTTGCACGGCACAACGCTGAGAAATGTAATTATTCGAGGCGCCCTGGCGAACTCGTCGCGACTTAGGTTAAGTTGTTATCCCTTGAGCCGAGCGGCGGTATTAATTAAACGTTTAACACGCGACGATAAATGTTGCAAGGGAACGCATCCCTCGTCCCCCTCTCACAGCCCACTCATGCCCGTTCGCGTAACGCGGAACGTCGATTCGATTTACGGGTACGATTTGTATGGCTTACTTTTATTGAATTAAGATACCGATGCTGGACGACTCGAGCTAATCTGAATTCAATATCCGGCCATCCGTACCCCTGTTTTCTCTCTCCCTTCTTCTTCTTTTTTTTTTTTTTTTTTTTTTTATTTTAATCACCGACACGCATAACGATTTTACGCGCTGTAACAACGGTATGGTTTTGTGAAGAAATATACATACATTGTTCTTACATTTACCACGACGGTCAGTTTTATTATTCACGCCGCCACTCCTCGTGATTGGACCCGGGATCCGGGAAGCACGGCCTGGAAGCACGGGCTGCTCCGCGAATTCTTTAGCAGTCTAACATCTAGATTACGGGTGTATTCTAGTCTGGAACTGTCGAAACACCGAATCTACTTTGTTTCTGCATTTTCTCAAAATTCCTGTTTCCCAAAGACCTTTAAAAATATAACTGCAAAATGATTTTGTTGAATTCGGAAAATTAACGAACGCTTATTAAAACGGCAATTTTATTACATTTCGTATCAAAATAACTGGTTCAGGTTTTTCTCAAAGTTCAGTTTCAAATTTTAATGAATCATATCTCGGTAACTATGTGGTCTTTAATTGTTATTATTTTTTTTTTTTGTGAATTGTTTATAATTTTGGTTTTTATAACATATCAAACTTTTAACAAATTCTTAAATTGGCAAATTAAACTGAAAAAATTCACGGCGTTAATCTATATTTTCCATAAGAAGCTGTGTTGAAATTATAAATGTTTGATATTACTTTTCAATAAATTGGGACGGTCGATAATTTTTATTGTCCTTTATATGGTTTGTAATTTCGGTGTTTGTAGCGTGTACAATTTTCAGCAAGTTCCTAAATCGCATTTTCATTGAAATTGAAAAAATTCTCAGTGTAAATCTGTATATTCCACAAGAGGCTATGTTAAAACTACACAAAATTTCGATATCGTCTTTTATCAAATCGAGACGGTCAATAATTTTTATATTTTTTTAAATAGTTCAAAATATCGGTTTCTATAACATACCAAGCTTTCAGTAACTTCCTAAATACCAATTCAATTCAAATTGAAAAAATTCACGGTATAAATCTGTATATTCCATAAGAGGCCATGTTACAATTACAAAATCTTTGTATCATTTACCATAAAACTAGGTTGGTCAATTCAAATCAGAATAGGCTCGTATGATTCACATTAGGTTGTCCCAAAGGTTTCTTCCGTTTCATTAATAAGTAATCCATACACAATATTTTATGTCAAATGCTACATTATTGAATTGTGTACGATTCATTTTGCTCCATTACTGTTACAACATTACTATCTAAGAAATTAGGTTATTTATATAAACATTGCTACACGAAATAACTGAACGCAAGTCACGGAAGAAACTTTTGTGGATAACCTAATATTTAACCAAATAACGATCAAGAGAAGCTTTCTTAAAATCCCACTTTTAACAAATCCATGGAACACTTACATTAAAAATACCGAAACCTCGAAAATTCAAGTGTTCGTATATTTTCGTTGCCCAGCGTAACTCCAAAAAAAAAGCCAGAGGGACGTAAATCAATCCGAGACGAGCAGAACGGAATCCCAGGGATGAATATTTATGAATTCAGGGTCGAGAAAGCGTCGCGGGCTCGCGTTTCAGCGAAACTCGCGAAACGTGTTGTTTATCATTGATCCTATCTGCTAAATGCAACCTCCTTTTTCCCGAGAAATGTACAATCACCGTCACGCCTCTCGTGCGCGACCCTCGATGGAGTCGTTCCCGCTCGAAAGAAGAAATATTCGTACGCGCTCTTCGTTTCGTTATTTTCCCTTTTCCCGTGGGAGACCATTTACGTGGTCCCGCGGTACATTTTTAACCGCGTTTACTCGACCGATCGAAGATGTTTTTTTAACCATCCCTCGGTATCGCGGTGACGTTAACGCTACCCCTAACGTTACGTCGGTCGCGTTAGCGAAGTTTGCATGCGCAACATTTACGCTCGCCGGCCGTGGCTTATCTGCAACGGAAATCAAAAATTCCTTGCCAGGTTAATGAGGCGGAGTCATCAGATAACAACGCTCGTCCGTCGAGCGCCTCGATTATTTTTAAAAATGTTTACCTCGATTACTCGCAAATTGGCCCGCGCTTACCGATCCGACGATTTTGCAAATTTACGAGCTCGATATTCACGAACGTTAACCTTCACGATTTCAGTCGAATTTATTATTATAATTCGGAGTTACGTAAACGGTCTTTACGATGCTCAAGGATGAAAGAATTGACCCGTGCGCGAGGAGACGCTTGGATACGTTGGACGAGCGGCGGCTATCATCGCCGAACGTTAAGAATTAAAATTGACAATTGGAGCGTAAATTTACTCGGCAATTGAACGCAAGAAACCCTACGGTTCGATCGTCTACGGCAAATCGAATTAATCGCACTTCTCTTCAACCGCATCAAAACACATGTAATGACGATTCGGTGCGGTGAACTTTCCGTCGGTGATTGACAAGTAGTCCAAGTCACTCTGAATACAGCGTAAATATATTCCTATTGCTAGCGTAGATGGAGTCAATTACGCCATTTGCATTATCCGATTCCGATATTAAAACGTGCTACTTTACGATTCGTTGTTAACAATTATCAACGATGCAGCTGATTCAGAACGCGAGAAAAACCAACGTAAATTCGAAAATACGTAAACCGCCGATTAATAGGTAATAAAGATAATTACTTCCAAGTTCGATCTTCCGATACTCGCGCGTTTAGTACCGAAAGGGGAATTACCATTTTCTCGGAAGCGTTCGTCCCGATCGCGCTCAAGCAACCGTACCGAAAAGATTTATGGACCTCTTCGAGCAACAACTTAAGCACGTGCAACAATTTATGCAGCCGCCGTTTATTTCCTAAATAACTCCGAGTAGCTGGAAAAGAGTCGACCAACGAGAATGGCACAGCCTATTCTAATTGCCGAGACTCGCTACGCAGAAACCTCTGGACGATCCTCAAGGAAATTGAATCGCACCGACGAGTATTGTATAATCTACACCAGACAGATCTACTTGACTGACCTACATGGCTGATGCGAGACTACTTAACCTTTTGACGACCGACTTTGTATCCCGTGGAAAACGCGTGTTCCGCGCATGTCGATGACTTCGGTGGTAACGTGAACCCTGCAAGCCTCTACAATCACTCGCGAACCGGAGCAATGATTACTGACGCCAGTCGACTAGCGCCAGTACTGCAAATGGTTCTTCTACTTTTCAATATATTAGGTTTCCCCAAAAGTTTCTTTCTTTTTATCGGTACATAAAAGTATACGAACACTTGGACTTTGGAGGTATCAGTATCTTAAGAGAATTTTTCGATTTAACCAATGATACTATCGCATTCAACGTAGCGAAAGACTTCTGAAGAGAAAAATAATTCACGTGAATTTTTGGAATTTAAATGAAAGCGCGGTTTAGGAAGTTGTTGAAAATTTTACATGTTATCGAGACGGAAATGATAAAGCATTTTTAAAAACAAATAGAAATTATTGACCACATAGTTACTGAGATATAAGGCATGAAAATTTGAAACTGAACGTACCGGGCCTGAAATCTACTGTCTGAGCAGGTTTGGAGTAGTTCTTGGTGGGGCAGCAATATTTAATACCGTTAATGCGCATACTGTCTACACGGAAATACTGTCTGAGCAGGTTTGGAATATTTTTTGGTGAGAGCGGTAATATTAAAATACCGTTGATGTACATACTGTCTGAATAGGTTTTGGTGTCATTTTTGGTGAGGGCAGCAATATTAACCCTTAAATGGACGATTTTTGTTTCACGTTTTAAAAAAATATATTTGTGTAATAGACATGTATTACTGTCTAGGAAAAATAAGTAAAAAAATCTAGACATGAATTTACTATACTTTTCAAAATTCGTTCAGAAATAAGAACTAGTTGTCAAAATTACAAAAAAATAAAAGAAGGTCAATTTTATCTGTGATGTTTAGTATGTTGTTTAAAAACAACATTGTCCATTTAAGGGTTAAATACCGTTAATGTACATACTGTCTGAGTAGGTTTGGAGTAATTTTTAGGGGGGGCAGCAATATTAAATATGATGTACATACTGTCTGAGTAGGTTTGGAGAAACTTTTAGTGGGAGCAGGAATATTCAATACTGTTAATGTACATACTGTCTGAGTAGTTTTGGAGTAACTTTTAGTGGGGGCAGCAATATTAAATACCGTTGATGTACATACTGTCTGAATAGGTTTGGAGTAACTTTTAATGGGGGCAGCAATATTAAATACCGTTAATGTACATACTGTCTGAATAGGTTTTGGTGTAATTTTTGGTGGGAGCAGCAATATTAAATATGATGTACATACTGTCTGAGTAGGTTTGGAGTCACTTTCAGTGGGGGCGAGAATATTCAATACGGTTAATATACATACTGTCTGCACGTAAATACTGCCCGTGTACAAACTAAATTATTATTTTAATGAGTGTTCGTACACCATTGATACGGTATAAAAATCGACTTTTAGCTACATTAACGTTAATTTTGTCAATATTAAAATAGAAATGAGTGCCCACACGTTCCTTCGCGCGTTGAATATCGTATTATAATTGGTTTTCATGAGACTGTCGGTATTTTAAGATACTGGAACCTCTAAAATCGAAGTGTTCGTATAATTTTGATACGTAACGCACAGCCACATGTCATCCCTGATTATCCCTGTACATTTTCCGATGACAATGACTTCCTATCGTTCCAATTCACATGAGCGGATTAAGGCGAGAAACTGAGACAACTTGGCGAAATTTGTACCGCGTTTGATCAGGCATCGAGATACCTAAACTTCGGGCCAGATTGCTACAACTTCGCAAAGGTAAGGAAAGTTCAAGGCGGAGCCCCCGCGGACGCCAATTTAATAAAAACTTTCCCGGAGCCGATATTAGATCCGCCATGCGAACGAAGAAACTGGATTTCAGTGAAATCGCACGAGCCCGTCGATTTTTTAATAAAAGTCGCGGGGAACTCGTTGGAAAGAAATGAAAAACCGATATCCGATAATTCCGCGAGATACACCAATGAAAATAAAACTAACACTCCAGAATCATTCCGTGTTGTTGCGTGAGATAATCTCCAGGTTAAGATGCGCTTCGCGTGGTTGCCGTACAAGATGGGTGACCGTTTTTTCACAAAAGTAAAATAATGGCGTGAAGAGAACCGTGGGGTTTGGAAGTGGTATTAAACAAAAATTAAAATTGGACTACTCCAGTGAAAATACCAGGCAAGTCTGGTATGACGTTGCGGGAATATTTTCGCAATTATTTATGGGTTATTTCTGAGAAGCCGTTCCAACCCGCCTGGCGCAAGAATATTTCCAGAGTAACTGTAAAAAAAAATACAAAAAATAATAATAAAGTCAATAAAAAGTCTACTCTACAATTAAAACAAAATAGTATCATAAACGTAGCTGTAGAATTACAATATTGCATCAACATTTCTGCAACGTTCCTCCCAATTTAGATTACAATTTCGCCGACAATCTTCCCGCTGAAATTTGTCGAAACTCTTCGCCTTTCTTATGCGACTCGTGTTGTTCAAGCGTGTGCGATTAGTGCCACCGTTGACGGTGTCTTCGACGCTTTCACGGCGCGCCGCGACGCCAGTTACGTAAACCAAAGTTTACCTTTCGAAGCCATCCGTTCCCAGCGCCACGACCGGGTCCCAGTTCGCGAAATTGCAAGAAACTTATTCTCCTCGGCTGAAACTGGGATGAGATGATGTACAGTCGAACGTTTTCTTTCTCCGCGTCTAACAAAAGGCTTAGGAAACAACGGCCAAAGGTGGACAGGAAATAATTTGTAACTAAAGTACTCGATGCTCCGAGGAGAATGATGTAAGTGGAATGAGTTGTGAAGTTGAGATTACCTCAGTGTATCCTTGGCTCTTGCGCTGTTCTGCGATTCGTAACGCGGTGTTCTTCCGAAAGATGAGACGAAATGGTAAAATTCGATTCTTTTGTGGCATCTGTAATTGTCGAGTGAAACAAAGTCACGTTCGTTTGCATAAAACAAAAAAAAACAAAAAAAAAAAAAGAAGGCTCGTCGACGAGCGTGTAGAATTAAATTATATCGACCCATGATTCAGATATTCATTACAAATGACTGTAGCATGCACATGGTAGATGAAAGAAATTTATTTGAAATGCTAAGAGTAAAATGATGACTCGTACGAATCTACAAAAAGAGAAATAAATGAGACACTATTGCTTACATCACTGGTAAATTACATAGCCGCTGTTTTTCATCCTCATTGTGCGTCGATGATGACCGTGTAAGTTTGAATCCGATCTGAAAACAGATGTACGGGATGATATAGTCGCCTTCCTTAATGAACGTCGTTTTATTTTCACGTCAGTGACAAAAAAACTATGAGTATCGTTGTACGTAGAGCAAAAATCGTTTCGCAGGTGCGTCGACTGGCTATCGCTTCGACTCGTTCGACACCGAGATTCGAATGCTTATAAGCTAGAACGCCCGAGAAATGATCAACGCGATATGTTCGATCGGAAGCTCTGTACAACAAACGAAGGGAACGGAAAACGCTTTGCGCAGCTACAACGGCTCGTTTTAACCCTCTGTCGCACGAATTTTTATTGCATCGTTCGAGCAAGAAACGAACTCGACTCTCGGTTTATTTACAACGTTCGCGAATCGATGCCCGCTGCACGAGCAACGATTACCTGAATCCGACGGTGGATATTCCCATAAGAAAATATCGTTTGCGAAATCCTGTAAAGTTTCCGGGACGAAACTCACGGGGATCGCGTTTCTTCTATTATTATGCGACAGAGGGATAAATTGCCCGAACTAATTCGAAGAGCGAACGTTCCTATATCGAGAAACCACCGGATTGTTGGATATAAAATAATAATTTACGAGTACGCTGTTCGATTCAAGACAGAAGTGCGTCTACTAATATTTAAATAATTTTTATTGAATATCATAGGTAATATGAATTAGCAAAGATTTACCCATAGCGGCGTTTCACTTAAAGAAAGAACAATACCGTTCGTAAAACACTGATCATACATACCTGCACATTCTACGCAACCTTAACTCTCGTTCTCTTCCTGTTCCTCTCATCGTCTCGCATTCTCTCCTCCGTTCTTCCACTTCGCTATCTCTCTTTCTCTCCCTTTCTCGCACCCATTCACACCGTGTGTCTCTTTCTCACTCTCTGACAACGCGTCGGCAACATCGTCTAATTAACACTTTATATGGTACTTAGAGAGCACGCGCATTCGCGTTCACACACTCGCACGCATATAAACCACAGCTGCATCTGTATCTCGCACGCGTATGCACCTAAAACGTTACATCTATATGTGATTGTACCTAATAAGCATGAACTTTCCACGGTCGAGGTGTGCCCTCGTATCCGGTACGATTATAAATATCCTGAAATCAAGGATCCCCTACTTTCTTAAGCTGCGTTAAATAAAATTTACAATACCGTCCCTCGTAGCGTCAAGTAAATTTGTAACCCGTCAAGAAACCGAGTAAGGATCGGGCACGCTACACGTGGCCGTCTTCACCGCGACGAAACCGGGGCTGGGACTACGCGTCTCGACCGCGGCGATATTTGAATAGTACGGACTGTAAATGAAAATCGACGCATCTGTTAGCAGAGATCACCGATCGAGTTCCTCGACCCTTTGCACTCGGACAATTTTTTTTTAGTACGAACGACTAGCTACGTATAAATACTTAACAATTTAAATCTCGTTTATTCGTTTCCTTAATTCGGTTTGCGTCGAGTTAAATAGAACTTGAACTCGGTCGCGGGTGCGCGCTACGTCGACGTAGCGACGATAGTGGAATGTAACGAGTTGAATTCGTCGTTTCGCTTTTCAAACTTTCTCGTCCGTTCGCTATTCGAATACCGAAATATCGGTCCCAGCCTGAGACGTGACTCCAACGAGCGCGTCTTCGTGTACCGTGGAAGCTTCCGAAATTAAGCGTCTCCTACCAGCCAGCCGCGAGAACCTTAAACGCCGTTGGTCGCTACGGGCAGAAAGCTCGCGTAAATTGCCCACCTACCGGGTGTCCTTTCGCTAAGCGATTAAAAAAGAAAACACTCTGTGCAAGGAACGAGCGGATTTCCGTAAGCGTGTCGAACCGAATGTTACCTTTGTCTAGCTAAATCCTGAAACGTGCGGGCTGTTCCGCGAACAAGGGACGCACCCCTGGGATGCAGTCGTGGCAGTACACGAAGAGTACACCTGTTTATTTCGGTTTTGTTTGGGAATCGAACGCTTTCACGAGGGTCCAAGTTAGTCGCTATACAATTCTTACGGTCTAGAAATCTTAAATAAATCTCGGTAAGGCAGTGCCAGCACGGTGGTACATGTACGGTGGAGGGGGAGGACCGGAGTAATGTCTCTGATGTTGGTGAGGAAGCGAGGACCTGTGCGAGCCCATCGTTCCGTTCGACGGCGACACGTGCTGCAGAAGGTGAGAGGTACCATCACCGAGATCCAGCTCCAGCTCTTGCTCCTCTATCAGCTGCAAAGCTCCGAAGGAGGCTGTCGCCATTGCCACGTCTGGCATCACGCCCGACAGCTGTCCATCGCTGCACGAGTTGCTCTCTTGTTGCTGAAACGTCAAACAACCCGATAAAAATATAAATGCGTAGGAAAGAATAGCCAGAAAATCGCTGTCAGCGATGATCGAGACACGATTGGTTTCTTCCTCGAGTTGGAACAAAGATTTCTTACCTCTGCAAGAAGTCTACAGCTTTCGCCCTCTGTGACTATAGCCGGGAGCTCGTGTCTGTGCGTGCAGGATGAAGCTGGCCGCGGGAACGTCATGTTTCTTCCGTAGCACAATGGCGGGGCTGTTCTCCCGTTGATCCCCATGCCTGGTGAATCCATGTCTTCGATGTCGGTCAGCCTCTCGTTTTGCTCCTTCGCGTTGTACGCGCCCGTGTTCTGAAACAGCCAACAACTTCCATGAACACCGATATCGAGCTATACGCTAAACTTCAGAATTAATAATTCTTAATCCTTGAACACGAGGAGCATTCGGTGGCAATTGGATGCCGGTAATAGGTGATTGGAAACCATTTGACGTAGCTCTGCGAATCGGTTTCCAGTTAACGTTCCATTAGCGTGCTATTAGCAGATCTTTTCTAAACGAAGTACTTTCTTTCGACAGTTGTAGAGTTATTGTAGGAATAAATATTACGGAGGCATCGATAGAATTGTGTCACGTGTTCCGAAGTGCTGGCTAGATAGGGCGGATAGTAACGAAACATAAAACAAAATTGCGAGTCTAACAAGGAAACGTGTCCAAAGCCCTTACAGCCAGACGCGGGCTTAACGCCCGACGGAAACCAACGTGGCTTAACGAAGTTCGTAACTAGAGCCTCCGAACAGAGAAAAGCTAACACCTACTGCGTCATTCATTAACCGTGAGATCGGGGGCATTTAGCGACGGCTCCCCGAAATCCTTCAACTGAAGCGATTCCAAGGGCTGACGTCAAATCCTGAACAGCGTGGGAGTACTCTTAGAAGCTCGACTATCCCAAGGATTACCATGAGATAAGGGGAACGCTTTCTGACTCCATGGATTATGTTCTCTTACGCTAGGCACGATGGGTACGTGTTCAAACGATGGCTGAAACTGCTCGTGCAATTTTTATCTATTTTAATATTAGTTTTAACTATTTTAATACGATTCGATTATTTAAGGGGGAACGACATTGTGACAGGCCCCAAACAAGCATTTTTTATACGATTCCTTTTTATTACTTACTAAATTAATTACAGATCAGGAGAAGGATATACAGAGTGTCCTAGAAACGGAGGTCCTTGAAAGAGGTGGTTCGGGGTGTGATTTGAAACAACTTTTTCCTTAGCGAAAATGTTGTCCGAGGCTTCGTTGAGGAGATATTAACGGAAAACACTGACCAATCAGACCGCGAGTAGTCTACGCCACTGCGGTCGCTCCACCGCTCTGATTGGTCGGGGTTTTCCGTTAATATCTCCTTAATCAAGCCTCGGACAACATTTTCGCTGAGGAAAAAGTTGTTTCAAATCACCTCCCGAATCACTCCTTTCAAGGACCTCCAACATTTTTGGGACACCATGTATTACTAAGGATACCTAAAAGAGGTTTTGTCAATTTTTGTGTTAAACAACGATAGAAATTAACGGAAATATAAATGTTTATGTTCGTTAAATCAATTTTTTTAAAATATCAGCTTATAGGATATGATGAAACGAAAGTCTTTTGTATTTACAGTTTATTCATAGGACGCTTAATTTCGAAAATACAAAATTGGAAAGTGAGAAGTTCGTTGCAAAAATTGAATTTTAGGAGAAAGGTCTTCAAAGTTTTCAATTTTTATCTCCGAAACTAAATGCCGTATGGAAAAATTGTACGTACAAAAAAGTTTCGTTTTGTCGTTACCTATAAAGTGATATTTTTTTCAAATTCGATTGTTCGACTGTTGTTTATTTTTTCTTTAAGACAACAGTAATGGGATTAGACCACTGCGAGATCTCAGGAAATAGGTCTTCAAAGTTTTCAATTTTTATCTTCG